GAACAAGAAAAAGAGTTTGGTTTTCCACCTCTCACACATATTGCCCATTTAAAACCTATAGATAATCAAACTCAGATGACAGCTCATGAAGATGTTCTTTCTTCAGAGAGTTTTGAGCAGAGAGAGCTTGCAGATGCCAGGCCAGAAATGATGCCATACTTTGATCCATACACCGGAAGCTATGTTAGTAGGAGTAGCTTCACTGCAAAGCCCTTAGGGGAAGGCTTGCAATTTATCAGTCTTAGGGGGAAAAGTCAGTCACAAAAACCCAGGATTTTAGCAAGTAAAGTCAACAGTGCTTCAACTGCTCAGAGACCAACATCCAGCAGAAAAAGTAGTAGATCACACATTAAAAGCCCCACTACACAAAAGACCCAGCATGGACTATCAGAAATAACATTAGCCGACCCTGCCTACCACCTCCCCATCTCTGGATCTGTATTTGATGTGGTCACCATGTCCCAGCGCTATGTGACTTTTGCAAAGACTATGTGCGACACCATCTGCCCTTTGCCAGTGTTTGAGGAGCACACCCCACCACCCACACCGCTTGAAGAAAGCATGGGTTCTTCCACAGCCAGTAGCAACCCTCTGGATCCAGAGTTTAGTCTGAGAGCAGCAGCCAAGGAAGCCATGTTAGGAAGAAAACAAGTGTACAATAAATTGTTACAGGTATGTCACTTCCATGGATACATGAATTTGTGTGTGTGTGGGTGCATGTGCATGCGTGTGAACTGATTGCATGTGCAGTTAATAAGAGGTTTTAATTGTTATTTATTTGTAAATAAATTGCATTCTTGTGTGATGATGTATAAAATTGGTCTTGGTTTTGCTTGATTTGTGAGATTAATACAATAAGAAAAATAATGGAAAATCAGATGATTAAAAACTTTTAATGTCAGTTGTTTTACCCCATTTATGTTTTCTTTTCAGTGTGTCTCAAATACAGTTTGTTTGTACGCAGATAACATGATGTCCATGGATCTTTGTGCAGTGTTTGAGAAAGAGGGAATAGATTTAGTTGGTGTTGAGGTAAATTTGAAATTAGATTTTTATTTGGACAGCCTTAGTTGTATAAATGGTATTATTGATATTGATATCATGAATGTTTGTAAAATATGTAAAGGATTAATGGAAGGCAGTTTTTATCAGTAACACACAGTCAAACAACAATGCAACCCATTAAGTTGAAAGTAGATTGAATCTATATATACAAAAATACTGTCCATTTTAACTTGAAGCCCCTTGTAAATGAAATTCCATTTTTCAGTTGATTAAGCATTTGAAGAAGCAGAGGAAGCAAGGTCTTATATGGGGCTGTAGACATCAGCTGGAGGGGATTAAGGATTGCTTCTTTTACATGAGGAAAAATCCCAACATACTGTCAGGATCACACGAACCAATTACAGAAAGTGTAAGTTTGTTGGCAAAACAAATTATTAGTGTCAGCTCAACTTCCATAATTGTTAGAGACACTTTTCTGGTTTGGAACATAGTGTAATTTCTAGGAAACCTAAATTCAAGTGGAGATGTCGACAATAACCAAACGTGAATTTCTCTGGATGAGTTTCAGGCCTGTGGCCAGAAATTTCAAAAGTGGACCTTTAACCATGAAACTTACATGTACCTTAATTAAATTTTACCCAGAGGGGACCTTTTCCCTGCAAAAAGTTTTTTTTTTTTCGAACCCCCCCCCCCCCCTAACCCCCCTGGCTACGGGCCTGAGCTTTAATTCAGCTGCTGTATTAATTCTCCAGATGTGTGTCAGGATAAACAATGTGACAGCCTTGCTGGACCTGTTACCTGACCTGTGGGCCAGGATGTCAAGGGCTGTGGAAGCTGAGAGGTTGTTTGAAGAAAGAAGCAGGAGTGGAACTGGTAAAATAAGAGACACATCAGCTTTAATGTATTTCTTAAATCATATATTTTTGAAAATTTGACCCATTACATAATATTTTTTTCAGTTCCGTAATATCATTTTTCTGTTGTCACTTGTTAATCTTTTTACATCCTATAGAAAGTTACAAAATAAAAAAACAGTTGCACCTCGTGTTGAAATGGTAATAGACTTTATTGGTAGTTTTTCAATGTTTTATTGAAAGAATTTGAGAGAGAAGAATGATGTGAAAATTCCCAAAAGAATAAAATGGTGACCTACATCCATAAAGTTTTAATTTTAACCCATCCCTTTCATCATATATTGAAAAGCTTAAAATGAAGAATTAAAAGAATTGTGATAATCATTTAGGGGAGTCCTCTGCTCATCAGTCCAGCTTTGGTGACAGCGAAGACAGGTATTTTAGTTTCACCAGACAGCTGTCTAGTGACAGTGTGCTTTCCCATGGCTCTGAGGTGACAGACGAGTTTATCCCAAAAATAGGGCTCAAGGTGAAAGAAAAGACTAAACACCACCTTCAAATCATATGGAAAGGGCTCGTCAACATACTGGCTTATAGGGTGAGTGTTAGAAATAAATTTTAATATTCTTGGTGAGAAAGGCTCTATGTCTTCCAATTCTAATTTTGAAATCCTGGCCTTTTAATAGAATTAAAGATATAACTAGAACTGTCAAGTAAAACCCCTTTTCTTAATATGTTATTTTAACCTTCCAGATGAACCTGTTCTTCAAGGATGCCCTTACCTTGCTCCTGTCTATACAGCGCCCTACATTGTCCATTGAAAAACAACTGAAGCCACTCATTGACTTCTTCACTGACCATTTGACCTCCCTGGCACAGTGGCTTTACAGGGACTCCTTCAGGAAGTTTCTTGAAGTTCTGTGGCTCTTTCTTGCCAAGGATTTTAATGCTGAGGTGGAGAGCCTAAAGTACACAAGCATGAACTCTGAGGCCATTGCAGAAGTCATGCTGCAGACCATAGCTGTAAGTCACTGTGGTGAATACGAGGTTGTGAGTTGTGATATATACAGAATCATTAATAGTATATTATGGATTTAGGACATTTTATACATTGTGTTTGTGCTGTGAGGATATCATGGGAAGCTGGAATTCATATCAAATTTGATTTTGATATCAGTTTACAGCACCAACATAACTAAATTGTTCACTCAGCTTCATCTGTATTCTATAAGTAGCAAATACCCTTGGTAATTAGTTTGTAAAGTGTGTCGTCTATTCAGTATTTATGTGCCAATATCTATGTTCACAATTTTGGATTTTTTTTATAGTTCTTCATAAAATATTTGAATGAAGATGACAGAGGATTGGACCTAGACTTTCTGACCACGGAAGTGGTAAGTCGGCATTTGTTATTTTGTTCTTGAACAGATATACCAGCAATTGCAAAAAGGACATCTAAATATCTTCTTAACTATTTCAGTTTTTTTTTCAGGGCACCTGGGACACAGCTGTTGTGCTTAAATTTTTTTTTTTCATTTTTTGTTTATTTATTTTTAGGAAAATGTGATTTTCAAGCTTCAGTTGTACACCACACCAACTGTAAGACTAATGAGACTTTACCTACAGCTGCAGGCAGAGGTAAAGAAATTATGTGATATGCTAACTGCAAATGTATACTTTTTTCCATTTTATGAAAATTACTAATAATAAAAGAACCTAATGCACTGAGGTTAAATTCAAATACATAGTATAGTCTGTGTTGTTATTGCTTTATTAGTTGGTAATTCCAAATATTCACCAAAGAGTAGGAAGAGTTAAGCCATACACATTTTAATTTGTTCAGTTCACATTCCTGTATTAAGTAAAATTTATTTCAGAGAATGCAGGATACTTATTCACAAACCCCAGGGTCAGAAGTTCCCAACAAGCTTTTCATTGCTCATATGCAGCATGATTTACATGCTATACGCAAGTGTTTCAGTGGACAGGAACTTGTGGACTGGATTGTCACACATCCACAAGCTCTTCACCCAAAGAAGAAACAAAGCCAAGGTGGGTATGTCACTGAAGGCACATTATAAAGAGACAAAAGAAAAGATTTTGACAGATATTCATTGAAATGTTATTGGAAAATTTGACATGTTTTATTAGTCTCCAAGTTCCAAGTGCTATTCTCATGCACAGGTGTCTTAAGTTGATTGAACAGGATTTGGTGCAAAAACAGCATTTAGCAAATTTTCCTGGACACTTTACTTTAAAGAATAATCTTGAAAATTTTTGGATATTGTTTTTGAATGAATAATTTTTTTTCTTTGCTGGAAGTATAGAGAGATCAAAACAGGATCGAAATCTGTTTCATTGAGTGTTTCATGCCAATAATTTGTTCTTAATGCCTTAAATATAAATCGATATTTATATATATTTTTACATGAGATATTTTTCATCAGTCAGTGTGCTTTCATTCAGATTCCTCTGATAGCAATTACTCGGTGAGCTCTTCAACAGAAGAAAGTGAGTCAGAGGACATGGTGGCCAAAGCAGGGCACCTGGGACAGAAAATGCTGGAGAAAGGAGTCATTTGCAGCGTGGAGGAAGACATGTACAAAGCAGCAGGTATACTGTCTAGAGGGTTAATACATCTCTGTTGTCTCTTGTTGTTTCTGAATGTTGTTACCTAATCGTCCTTAGACTTTTGGGATTGTGCATAAAGCTGATGTAAAGCCCACAGTTGTATATAGCAGACTTTGTAGACAGATGCGAATCCTTTTTTTAAAAAATAATTGTGTATATATCTAATACTTATTATTCCACATTAAAAAAAGTGGATTGATACACTTGTAAAAACTGGTTATTTATTTTTTAACAGCACGGGGTCGTACATACAGTGATTTCTCCAATATACACAACCCATTTGGACAAGTAACTCTAGACAGTCGCCCAGCATCAACTTTCAACAAAAGAGCCTCAGACAACAGCAGCCGTACAAACAAACCCAGTACCTCCATGGGTGCAAATTCACAGGGCAAGTCCACCAGAAATCTGGACAATGGCACGGGCATTGCTGGCAGTGATGACAGTGACTCAGATGAAACTGTGAAAGATTCATCATCATCTGAAGATGAAGGTGCAGAATTTCCCCCTTCTAGCCAAGTTCCTAAGGAGACCTTAGTTGGGGTAGAAGTCCATCATGGTGCCAGAGGTGGACACACCAGTGATAGCGGAATCCAGAGTGAAGGGGACTGCAGCAGACCTACCAGTGGAGTAGGCGCAGCCAAGCTTCATCACCTAGTGCTTCAAGACCAGATTCCAGAGTACCTGAATTCTGGAGATCATGCTGACACTCGGGGAGCAAGTCCAGCATTGAGTCAGAGAGACAAACTGGTGGAGAACATGGGTCCACAAGGCTCTGCCTTAGGGAGACACTCTGCCGAATCATTCAAGAGCAGTTTGAGCAGTCGCCCTGGTTCCTCAAGTACCAGTGACTTGCAGATTTTTCATGCATCTAAAAATCATTTTTACTGCTTCAGCAACATCTTTGACTCTATTACCATGGATGATTTTTGCGGCAGTTCTGAGATGGCTGAGGAAATTTTACTGTCTCTCTCAGAGGACTATGTGGTGGTGTCTGGAGCCAAAGATAACAAGCACAAGCACATTCCTAACTTGCTTCAAAAATGCAAGGATAAAAACGTCACATTGGAGTTCATAGTAGCTGTCTTGTATTCAAGACGCAAAAGGGATGTTTTTGCCCGAGATTTCCTGAAACTCCATGTTCCAGTGGAACTTGTGGAAGGCATGGACAAACCGTTGGTAAAACCTTTTTTTGGATGTTTTGTTCCTGGATAAATGATACTGTTTCCCTGAAAACACTTCAAAGTGGACATTTTTAAGGCATGGAATATACATATTTGAAAATATTGAAGGTGATTGAACTGACTTACACTAACAGACATTTGTATGATGTATGCTTTTTTTTTTCATATGGATAGAATTTGGTCAAACTGAAGTGCAATACATTTGTAATTGTTTGCACAGACCTTCATAAGGACGTTGAGGTTTTAGCAGTATTGTCAAAATATTTTGATGCCTGTATTTACGTGTCGATTTTCAACAGAAGGGTACCATGTGTTAAAAATATTTGTAAAAATTCAGATCTGATTATAATGACTTCCTTTTGATCTTATAATGCTTTCTTATTTTATTCTGTTAGACTATATGGCATCATCAAAACAATTTAAACACTTATTTCCCAGAATATTAGTTATGTTTGAATTCATAAGAAATGTTTGAACAAAGACATTGAAGCAACTGCTACTGGATTACATGGCTTGAGAGATTGTAAATAATGCAGGTCTGATTTGAAGGTGCTTAAAATGTTTAAAAATCTTTTTTACAACACATTATTATGGCATTGTTTGTCTGTAAATTGTATTTTTCCGAATTGTCATTATACCCTGGCAATGCCAAAGTGGATATTGATGGAAATTACTGTCTGTGATATCTTTGTCTTGGGTTCAAGTTTACCAAGATAAAGAGCAAATTATCTTTGTGCAAGAGGAATGGAATATATTTGATAAAGTGCAAATTATCTTTGAGCAAAAGGAATGGAATATATTTGATGTCTATAAACCTGAACTATGAACCTAACTCTCTTTTGAAGCATTTGTTGTTGTATCGTTTGTTATAGTTGAACTGCATTAAAATGGAAAAGTTGTATTATGTAATTATTTTTAAAAAAATAAAACTTTGGTACCTTGTAGTGCACAGAAGTATTAATCTAAGGCAGAGCACATGTAGAAGATGTAATGTGGGTGGGATGTAAAACTGTCGTCTGTCAAAATTTATTGGTGTCAGTTTAAAAGTAGAAGTTGTTGGTAAGCTTATTTACCGTACATTCCAGCACGATTCTGTGATTAATTATTATAGTCACATTTAACATCTTTACTTGCAAAGAGGATGTAATCATATTGAGCAATCTGGCAGGCGTACTTCCCTTATATTATCCTTGAACTTACATTTAACGTTAAAGTTTCACAGATATTAACAATATTTTTCCTGTAAGATGTTGGAAAAGATGTGCTAGTTGGATAAAGAAAGGAGTTTCCTTCATCTTCTGTTTTTCCAGAAATTCAGTGGCTTTTTAAGTGAGGGGCATGCTGGTTTACTGTGATATGATCATTTGTAATAAGTTTTCTGTATTTTGTGAAAGGTAATATGTTTAAGAGTCAACCGTAGGTTAACCACCTCAACTAGGTAAAAGAGCTATTTCTGGAAAGCTTGCCAATTATGTCACTAAGTACAATGTTACGACTTTCTCATCGTTTTTTCCAGAGCTTAATATCAGCCAAGAGGTCTTAAATGTTCATGTTATTAGCTTTAAAACATTTGCAAATCAAACTGTATTATATTTATATTTTATTAATAACTGATGTTTTGTGCAGTAACTTATGTATCAGGGATAGATGTTTCAGTTTGCAACGAAATGTAGGTAGTAGAAGTTATCAGATGGAATGAACTCCATCTGAAGTCAAAGTTAAATGTTCCTATTGTAAAATAATCGCAAAAATTTGGCTGTTGTTCACCAAAGTACAAAAATTTATTTTGTTTATTGTATGCTTTACCTTATCATGTTCTGTATTCAGTTGGATAATTGATTGCTACGACTAAAATAAAGCGGTTGTACAAACTGTAGCTAGTTTATCTGGTTGTCATTTTCTTTTTAAGGGCAGCAAAATAAGCAAGCACGTGTCAAGGAATGCTAAGAATATTATTGTTTCACGGCAGTTTGCTTTTAGAGGAAGGGCTGTGTTCAACGAGAGTGTTGATTTCAAGTGAACTTTATGCAATTTACAAACAAACGTACTATAAAAACAATAAAAATAGGAGTAAATAAATGGAAAGTAAAGAAAAAGACATCAAATATCAAGGATCCAGCAAGTTCCAGTCTTTCTTTCCTTAGCTCCTATAATTTAAATGGATGCAAAAAGCATTGCCTTTCGTAGTAAGTTTCATCATTATAACTTTCTAGGAAAGTTGGGTATGACAATTTTGTAGTTTAGCTTCCCTTTGCTTTCAAAAAATTTATTTTTACATCTTTAATGGTTGGATAATATATTTCCTTTATGGAGCTACTTGGTAACGGTTTTTAATTTTATCTAGGTATTTTTCCTTAATAAACCAAAGTTGTGGAGTTAATTCTAGTCGCTAAGCTGATGTAGGACTCAAATGCAGTATACTTTAGAAGTGTTTATAATTCTTCCGTCAAAATATATCGCAGTTTTAATGAAACAAGTCAATTTGGAAGTAAGGGCATCACCCAGTCTAGTCAACCGAGTCTGTTTTCATCGCGCACAATAAATTATAGCTGACAGATAAAGATTTTTAACGTCAAACTGTTACACAGTTTATTATATTCATCATAATGGTGTGAATAATTGCTTAATAGGTCGACTGGCATTGAATGGAGACCAAGGAGCCTATCCGCCTTATCACTAACGCAAGGTAGCAGATAAAAATAGCGACCCCGTTATTCCAGTTCTCTTTAAAAAGTCAAGGTCGTTGTTTCTCATTCTACACTCAAAGGAAAGAGATTCGTCGTTATTCCCACCACGAGAGTGTTATGAGTAATCATACAAGTAATCTACGTGGTTTTGAGGACGGAGTTCATGGACTAACCAAACGACATCGGGAAACTGTTCGATGGTGCTATATGTTTTATCAGCATATGTAATAGTAATACGACTTCTTGCGGTTTGTACTTACAGGATCTAAACCCACTCTTGCTGTGTTTTAAAATGTCAGACTTATCGCACGTCAACGTCCAGAAATCCTTGCCTGCAGTGTTCATTGTACTGGCAGTATTAACTTTTCCTTCGTATAATACAGGTAACATATATCAGTTTTCACTCTAATCTGCTTGAATTAGAAAGTACCATATATTTACAGCAAGAAGTGATCTGGGGCATTCTGCTGTGCATGATTTGTGGGCCTCAAGTCTAGGGTTTTATTTTTTTAACTTTTGGGAGAAGACTGGGACTGACCTCCTTCGCCATTTATTTATCTTTTTTGTTTGTTTATTTATTGATTAATCTATTTATTTTGAGCCCCTCACCCCTCCTTCCAAACCGACTATAGTCTGTTGGCAGTGTTGTATTGAAAAAGCTATACCTCATATAGCTCAGGTGTCCATTAACGGCATTATGCACTTTATACCATCCCTGATATTTGCGGTCGGGCAAATATATTATGGAAGTTGACAGAAATCGTTAATCGCACCGTCTGTGGAAGATATTAATTCTGCCAGTGTTATTATTGGCATTGTGTTCTCTATACGTACATTGTACAAGATGTTTTGAAGTTAGGCACTCCCTCTGTGTCCAAATGTACATTAACTAGAATGCCTCGATTTTTCGTCAACCTTCAATGCTAAAGGCGAATGATAAACATTAGTATCAAATGTCACCATATGAAATTGATAGTTTGGGATTAGATAGGAAATTCATTTATAAATGCATTAAGTAACAAACATGACACAATCGTTTTCGTTCGAGGAATTTTCAGTTTTTTTAATATATATATACATATAAAAGTAATGAACATTTTTTCTTTCAGAAAGACAGAACCCGTCTCATCCTTTACCTCCCCTAAAATTTTAATAAGGGGAAAATAAAACTATAAAAAAAAAAGATATTTGTCAGTCAGAGGTGACCTTTAAAATCATTCGGCCATTCCCTAAATCTAAATTACGAAGACGTGATACGTTATTAAAAACCGACTAATTCAGGAGTGAAACTATTGGGGGACGCATATTTATGTAATGTCACACTAGTCTTCACGAAAGGTTTTGAAAAGGATATTTTTTTCTGGAATGCAAACATGGTTGGGCAACTTCCGTTTTTCTTGTGATCAGTGTCTTTCATGCCGTTACATATACAGCATGATTACGTAAGATGCATACAGATGAGGTAACAAAATGAGATGCATAGCATTGGGTGTCTTTCTACTAGGCTATTTATCACTATTGATATGTTGGTTTGTTAAAATATGGATGTTGGAATAAATAATTCAAGAATCAGAAAACTTACACCAAGTTTTCATACATTTATGACCGTGGTTTGAACTCTGTTGCTTTATGATACCGTAAATGTCTTATTAGTTTATATGAAATAACCAACACAAATAAACGTAAGCAACTGCCCTACTGATTTGATCTGAACCAATTTTGTCGCAAAAAATCAGTTTTAGGCACCCAAGAGTGCAGTTCTATCAACTGGTACCATTGGAACCGCACCTACAGCGCCGACTTCAGGGACTCTGCCCAGTGTTGTGCCCAGAGCATTGACAACTGGCTGGGGCTCTTCAGGCTGCAGGAGTACCAGCAGCGCGACAAGACGCTTTCCTACATCGTGTTTGAGAACAGAACCTTTTGGGATCGAATATGCAGGTGACTGAAACTGCACGTTCCAGATATTAAGCCATCCTCCCCTCTCCTCCTAGCCTCTACAAAAATTGCTTTTATCAGAAATTCTTTCTGTGATAGTTTATCATTCATGTATTTGTTGCGCCTTTTTCTTTATTATTTTATTATTTTTTAAAAAATTATTTATTTATTTATTTATTTATTTATTTATTTATTTATTTATTTATTTATTTATTGTCTTATCAAAACTGTTAATTCTTTTCCTTACTGAAACCAATGATTCATTTATACTGTTTGAATCCTGTGTGTGTTGGATCACTTTGAGTGTTTTTGTAGTATTAGATTATCCCAAAATTCCTGCACGCTTTTTGCTTCCACGGACAAATCGTTACAAAACAATGGCTTTAGGGACGTTAGCTTTGTAACCATATCATTTTCGCTCTATTTTATCCAGTAACAGATACAAGGGTTAGGCCCGTGTAAGCCAGTGTGCATTTATTTATTTCCCAAATGGAAAATCAAGTGCCCTGTCTATTGACTGACTCTGACAAGACCAGCAATTCTGCTTGAAATCTTAGATTTATCTTTTGTTGAAAAGGAAGCTTTCGGTTTGTTCAACATCGTTATCGTTCAGAATGATCAATACCTTACTTGCTGGAGACAGGAAGATGAACGCGATTGCTTTTATTTTGTATTTACTGTTCAACATGTACACAGAGTCGGTCCTGCCACCGCCACCTTTCCCCCCGCCACCACCACTGGCTTGCTCTAGTGGCCGTCTTCTCACCATTCCTCGTGCGACACTTTTCAGGCAGTGGCTTGCCTCAGCTCGGTGTGTGCAGGCCCTTCAACCAAAGTGCAGCGTCCAGTGGGGGTCACAATTTCTTCGCAACCGGAGTCACAGTCCGACTGCTTTCAGAGTTTTGACCCATGGGCAGTATGCCTTTTACGACAGAACCTGCGATGGCGACAGAGTTAGTCCTGCAGTGACCAAGTGTGAGTATATTAATATACCACTGTCATATAAAGCTTTACATAATTGTTTTTGTTCCATTTAGCAATTAAGGCATGTGAAGATATTTCATTAAGATTGACTTTTCAATTTAGATTATTCTGATGCGATATGTACATCCAGGGTTTTCGAATGGATCGAATGTTCTAAAGGATATAAGAAGTACATTAATTCCCACTCAAATAATACAAAGTTTTTGATTGTCTCCTTGGGATTATCTTAACAGACTGATGAGACTTATTTGTTCATTCCTTTTAAGTGTGTTTTCACAAAGACGTGCGGCGTTCCTGCCTGACAAACACTGAAGCCGAGCGTTTTAAGAACTGCACGGGTCTCACCATGACTGAAATCTATAATACACCCGGGAACTTCTACCAAGTTTATATGGAAAATAAAGAACGCTGGGATGGGTAGATAAATATCTTATTTGTGTCGAGTTGATGATAGGATTATTTATAACAGTTTACTCGGGTTTTGATTGTGCAACACGTCTCACATTAAAAAAAGGATACCTACATGTGGATTAATGTGATTGGCATGCTTGTTCTCTTGTTGTTTTTTTTCGACACGTGACAAGGCGTTTTTTTTTCAATTCAGTCTAATTTACGTACTCCTGACTATATCATTTGTCTGTGAATATAAATGTCTGAAAATAACTGCCTTTCATGAATGTATTTCAGATTGGCTAGGGCAGCTTTGCGGTGCATGCGAGACGTGATTAAATCCTCGAGTTGCGCTCAGCATTCGCAAGACTTTTTCTGGCACCTTGCCAAGCTCCAGCTGCCTGCGCTGTTCAACGTGTCCGTTTTAAATATAGAAGAATCCGTGAAAGATTCGCCTGAAGTAGTACGTATATATTCAATTACGATACTCATGTTTTATACACAACTTTTTGTCCTTATTTAAGCTCCAAGGCCCATTTCTTATCTATTTCAAATGCCAATTTGTAAGCTCAAGCTGTGACACAGTATTCAGCAAGGTGCGTGCCGACATTCGTCATGATGGGATGATGAAAATTTTAAGTTTTAAAATGCCTTTTCTTTTCAGAACTTCGCCGACTTAAAACGCTGCACTGTTGGAGTGTACGGAGATCCCCACTTGCGTCTATGTGAGCAGAGAAGACTGGTCACGTGCTCAGCTCCAGGACGACAAGTGTTTCTAAGCAACCAGTTCGTGGAAATACAAGGCAGCAATGAGCTTGTCAACCAAAGCCATGACTCTAGAGCCACTACTTTGAAGTGGGTGAGTGGTTTTAGTGTTCATCTAGACTTTTGATGAAGGAAAGTGTGTCTAATAGGAAAAATAATGTAGTGTGGTATAATATTATCAGTACTTTTAGGATCGTTCACTTTTAGGTTGTGTGCACATTTTTGTTTGTTTTTAGTTAAGAATTACCATGAAAAGTTATGACGGCAAAACAATGCTGGCCACCTACACAGCATCGGGCGGGAAACTGCCAGAGACGTTTGACGATGGCAGCAGAACTGTCCTGGGACAAGGTAAAGGACAGTGGTGTTAACGTTATTATCACTAAATAATGTAATCGACAATGCCTTCAGTCATAAGCCAGTATTCGATATTTCCTTGATATGTAACCCTTTCTTAAGCAAGAAACACCGCCGCCCTTCTTTCATTTCTCCTAATTATCGTTTGCAATTTTGAGTTGTCCTTTATTGTCCAAGTTATATATTTAAATACTCTATGTCCAACAGTTTTTACATGTTGTCTAGCAAAGGTATACATTTCCAGGGAAGGACAAGATCATGCTGATGACTGGGTTTGTCACGAGGGTCGTAATATCTCAGTATGCTGTGGGCGTGGTTTACATGGTGAGACACTGGAAAGGGAACTACTTTTTTAGTGTGCGCATGGCGGAAAACATGGTATGGGAATCATTTGGCCTTCTTTCCACTGGGTGCCCCAAACAGGAATTCATAGGCCTCGGTCAGTGAATTTGTAATGTTTAATAAATCCTTGTTCAAGCATGCAATCACATGACAAAAGTAATAAACGACACCGTATTTTTAAAATTATTTTCATTGTTTGTTGTATCAGAGGAATTCAAAGATAAAATTGTTTCAAAATATCAGAATTTAAAAGAAATCTGCCCTTTTTGTCGGCCTTGTTTTAGACAAGTGGATTGGTCACTGGAAAAATGGCCTCACACGTTATGGACCGTCTAGAGTGCGAAGACAAATAAGAGTAACTAAGTGCACAGACGCCTGCAAAGATATAAAGGACGAAGACTTCCAAAGAGCATGCAAGTTCGACTGTATCGTGACGGATGACCCTCAGGTAATGTGCACTAAGTCGTCTTTTTTCTTGGGCCTTTAAAATTAAAAAAATATATTAATTCGTAAGAAACTGTCAATTATACAAGCAAACCTGACAATAGTTTGGACAATATGCCATGTCTTTGAACAATATGCTCTGTGTCTATAACGAAAAGAAAATTTAAGTTGACTTTCAGATGTTCCACCATAACGTTACTTATTCCATGTAAAAATTCTGACTCTCCAAGATAATATATTTTTAGCTTTAAGTTATCTTTATAATCAGTCTCCACTAGAAATCATAGAATTGTTAAATATCTGTAGTTTGTCTTTTTATTTTTCTACAATTAGATTTCCACAATGACCCGAGTTGGCGTGACAGATGTGCGTGAAATAGTGAAGTCTGATCCTGAAGCAATTAAGATGGCTGTCAAAATTCATTCATCTGGGCGTTCTTCTAAATCCAGTACATTGTGGATACTGATGCTTTTTGTCATTTCCTTCAATACTCTTTGATTCTCTTTAGACTTATATCTAATCAGAAATGTAGTGACTTTTAATTTATTGCTACTGTATCAGCTTAAGCATTTCATACGCCGTTAAAATGACGAATTTTTCCTTTTTTTTCGAAAAGGATTCCTATTACAATTTAAGTTAAGGTTGTGTTTGTAGCGCAGTGTGATGTCTTTCAATTAACGGTTGATTTTGGCCTTTTTAAAATACGTTCGTTTTGTTTATTAATGGACAGTTAAACACTATGTATGCCTAACGATCCAGTGTAAGACTTTATAACCGTGTTTACGTTAGATAATAGAAGTCTACTTCTATGGTTAGATGTACGCTGTCGTCTCAAGGTATAACATCTGAGCCTACATCGAATCATACATATCACTGGGATGTTAAAACAAAATGTTGTTTTGTAGTATATATCAAGGGCAAAATCTTTCCCTGGAATTAGGTGGTAACTGTCGTAGAAATTTTGCTATTTCAGACACTGTGTTTATTATGAAAGAATTATGCTGGTCGTAATTCTTGTTTCAACAGCTGATTGATATTTGTTTAAAACGGAATAAATTATGTTTTTTTCTTCCAACATTGCCTTGGGATTTATTTCATGGTTTGAAAGATGGCTATAATTTCATCATGTACATGATAATAGATTTACCATCATTTTTATATAATTAACTAACAAAATTGTTAAGATGCTGAAAATGTCAAAAGAACATTTTACGTATGTAATTAGTTCAATTATGAGACTGTTAACATGCCTAAGAAATGAATCTGAGGAATAACCACTTTTATACAAAAAAAGAAAAAACATAATGTCATCAAAACTAAACAGATCAAGATAATTTTAACTTGATCTTCACATTAGTTCTAAATCAGTCCTGCATGTTTTAAAGCAAAATACGACACGGTTTTTATGTTATTTGTGTGACAAAAAAAGAGCAAAAAAAAAAAAAAACTTTTGGCAAAAGTGGGTCGATCAAACTGATTTTCAAACTCGACCTGTATTTTATGAATATTCACCAGTTCTGAACATTTGAAGACAAAAGGTTAAATGATTTTCATTTAATGTGTACGACGGTGGATAAAATATGCTGATAAAAAGCGAAAAAAGGGCATAACTTTTGGAAAAATGTTTCAATCCAGTTGATTTTCGAAATTCGTCCTGTATTTTATGAATACTCACCAATTCTGTAAGTTTGAAGACAAAAGGACAAATAATTTTCCACTTATCGTTATAATCACTGTGCACGGCGACGGCGACGAAGAACGCAGGTGCCGGCTATATGTACAGATACAACAGTGTCTGTACAAAAGAAATTTTTTTTTATAATTTAACTCTTTGATGATTTGCTTTTCCTTATAAACGTTTCTTTTGCATGTTTAGTTCGTCGCGCTGGCAACGTCTCTTTAAAATGCACCCAAAACGTGTGATGTAATGAGGTAGGTTACAGGAGACGCACTTGAAAAGCTGAATACCTGAATTATCTTGCCATATGATAAACTCCTTACCTGCTCCAAACTACCACACACCTTTTCTCAATTAACACTAGAGGTGGCGCCATTTTCCCAGCCACTTACGTACAAGTAAATATAGGGCACATAAATCTTTCAAGCAGATCTTGTGGCATATGGTGTTTGCAATGCAACGTAACTGCTAGTTATTGTATATTTGCCCAAACCAAGTTTTTCCAAAGATTACAGTGTTTGGATAATATAGCTGGAGGTGTCATCCTGCAACTACTACATGTGTGCGCTTACATCTTAACAGGATGATGCAAAGCCGCCATACAGCAATGATTATTCAGGTGTTGATGTTTCCTGTACATTTTGTACTTGGTCTGCGGTGAGTGATCAAAATTAATCTATTAGGCTTTTTAAACTGAAAAAAAAAACAAAAAAAAAAAAAATCAATTGTTTACTATATGCTATATGTGAGGTATGGAATCACGGCTTAAGGTTATAGAGTGACAGACGCGTAAAATAAAATCGTTCTCTTGGCGTAAGGGAGGAGTGAAATGTGACTCTTATACAAGGCTAAAAGAACACCTATTTAGATTAAAATGATACATTTTATTGAGTGACTCCGTATGTAGCTAAATAAAGTAGGAGTGCTAGTGAGTCAGTAGTCATAGGCCTATTTTTTTAGATTAGTTATGTTTGCTGCACTCAAAACCAGCCAAATACCTTCCTAGCCAATATTAATTAATTATTTATACAAATCTATCTGTCATTGAAAATACACAGATGTTACATCAAGACCGCTGAATAGAGGACTCAAGTCTGAGCAACAAAAGTATCCATCATTATAAATCTTACTGTTGTGTAGATCATCATCATCATCATCATCATAATAATAATAATAATAATAAGCTTCTTATATGGCACCTTACTGTACATTATACCTCAAGGCGCCTTACAATAATGGATAATATAACTAAAATCATTAAAATGACTACAATATTTAAATCTAAAACACTCATTGGAAACCATTTAAAATTAACACTACTAAAAAAATCAATCTTATTAAAATATATAAAAAATCTAAGAGACATAGATCTAAAAATATGGGTCTTTAAAAGGGATTCAAAATTGTCAAAGTCTCCTGCTTTTCTTATAAAATTTGGTAAGGCATTCCACACTTTGGGGGCGTAGATTTTAAAAGCCCGATCGTCATAACTTTTGAGGCACCCCTTCATATAACACCCCATCATTATTAGTTGACACACAGTTATTATACAAACTGGAACTTATGTGTTAAAAGTGAACTTAAATAAAACATGGAACGTAAAATCTTGGCCTTGGTGAAGTCAAAATTTGACCCTCACACTCAACTTTAGCTATGCTATACAATAATACATAAATGTAATTTCTATTTTACTAACTAAAAGAAAAGAAATGTCCCTTGCATTTTACTTTTTTGAATTTTTCCCTGGAAAAGACATTTCGGCTTTAAATGTACATACAGGGTTACCACTTAATATGGAATATTATTTTTGGGCGAGTAAATTATCTACAAAATATTTAATTTCTCTCTAACTACTTTAAATCCAAAGCTGAGGTGTCACTCCATGTGTAACCAGGTGTGTTACCTAATTACCACACAACTCTCGAAACAATTGATGCATGCAGTTGCATGTTCTGTGGTCAGAAATGTGAGAGGTGGTCTTTTCGGCAATTTCTGCCCTTGTATAAAAACGCATGGGTTTGGTCAATCTTTGGAGTGTGTTTAGAGAAGCAACAAAGGGTTCGCTCTGAAACTTGACAGGTACCTTAGTGAAGATATGGTTCGACAGCTAAGCAACGCAGCTTACTATGGGATTCTTGCTCTCAGAGAAAATGGCCAGAAACGAACAGCCATTGCCAGGTAATTCAACATTTATCAGGAACCGTTTGTGAAGTCCTCCAAAGAAATGCTGCAACAGGGGCGTCTACTCCAATACCTCGACCAGGGTGTCCGCGTATCACACCAAGAAGACAGGTTCGCCTTCTCCTTACAGGACGCCGTGCTGGTCGAACAAAGACAACCAGTGTCCTCAGAAAAGAGAGGCAGAATGTCATTCAAACGCCCGTTTCAAGGTCCCTCGTGAACAAGAGATTACTGCAAGCAGGTTATTTTGCACGAAGGCCAGTAGAGAAACCACTGTTAACAGCAGGTCTTATACAGCGACGTCTGCAATGGGCTGGAGACCACGCGCGTTTGCAGCCAAAACACTGGAATCACGTCGTTTTAAGTGATGAGGCCAGATATTGATTTTTTTGGGTTGATCGTCGAATCCGTGTCCACCGACGTGAACGAGGGGCATAAAACGATAATTGTGTACTGCCTAGGGTGCAAGCAGGGGATGGTAACGTCTCTGTTTGGGGAGCATTTCATGTCGGTGCCCAGAACCAGTTGGTTTTTCTAGAAGGCAACCTCATCCAGGATTCCTACAGAGACATTCTACAGCAAACAATGCTTCGATTGGTAAGAGTCATCTTCAGGAACAACTTTGTGTACCAAGACGACTGTGCAACCCCACATTGAGGCCGCAGAATCACTGTTTTTCTTCAAAACCAATGAGTTCAGCAACTGCGCTGGCCTGCAAACTCTCCAGATATGAACCCAATTGAAAATCCGTGGGCGGAAATAACTCACAGAATTAATAGCTATGGTCCTCGGCCGGTAAATAGTGATGAACTGCGACAGGCAAACATCACTGCGTGGAATGATATCCCCACCCAAACTATAAAAAACGTGTCACAGGGTATGCCATGTAGGATGAGGGCGCTGCAAGCGGCTGCTGGAGGTCATACCCGCAATTACTGTGTTTTCATGAATTACTGTAATGAGTTCTTTGACTGTGTAACATATCACTGTCCGGAGGCTATCATTTTCTTTTATATCTTATCTTAAAGTTTATACTGACATCAAACTGTTGATATGGTTTTCTGGGGGTGTTCCTTTCTTTTGAACGGCATCGTATGTCAGATTTGATATTATTGACCAAAATATCTCACAACAGAAGACTGGATGTTATTATCACTCAGTGACATACTTTTTTAATGACTCAAGCGAAAAAAATTTTAATCAGCACTCAAAAATAACAATGATAAAAAATATTCCATATTAAGTAGCAACCCTGTATCTCAATGATTAAAGTTATTAAGACAAATATATTTAAAAGACTATAGACTAAAATATGAACTCAATTATGAACAGCTTGTTTGGGCAAAATATAACACCCATTACTGTATCATTCGACACTTAATGATACACTGCATATTGACCAAATTTTTTTTTNATTTTTTTATAATTTAACTCTTTGATGATTTGCTTTTCCTTATAAACGTTTCTTTTGCATGTTTAGTTCGTCGCGATGGCAACGTCTCTTTAAAATGCACCCAAAACGTGTGATGTAATGAGGTAGGTTACAGGAGACGCACTTGAAAAGCTGAATACCTGAATTATCTTGCCACATGATAAACTCGTTACCTGCTCCAAACTACCACACACCTTTTCTCAATTAACACTAGAGGTGGCGCCATTTTCCCAGCCACTTACGTACAAGTAAATATAGGGCACATAAATCTTTCAAGCAGATCTTGTGGCATATGGTGTTTGCAATGCAACGTAACTGCTAGTTATTGTATATTTGCCCAAACCAAGTTTTTCCAAAGATTACAGTGTTTGGATAATATAGCTGGAGGTGTCATCCTGCAACTACTACATGTGTGCGCTTACATCTTAACAGGATGATGCAAAGCCGCCATACAGCAATGATTATTCAGGTGTTGATGTTTCCTGTACATTTTGTACTTGGTCTGCGGTGAGTGATCAAAATTAATCTATTAGGCTTTTTAAACTGAAAAAAAAAAACAAAAAAAATCAATTGTTTACGATTCTATTCGCTATATGTGAGGTATGGAATCACGGCTTAAGGTTATAGAGTGACAGACGCGTAAAATAAAATCGTTCTCTTGGCGTAAGGGAGGAGTGAAATGCGACTCTTATACAAGGCTAAAAGAACACCTATTTAGATTAAAATGATACATTTTATTCAGTGACTCCGTATGTAGCTAAATAAAGTAGGAGTGCTAGTGAGT